TGTTGCGCTTCCAGCCTCCTCGCTTGCCACCTCGTTTGCCACCTCGCTTCTCGTCGCCACCCCATGTGACTATGGTCGGCTCGCCGTCGGTCTCCACCTCCACCTCCTCTTCACCTCGGCCTTCGCCCTTTGAGCTCCTGCCGTCCGCCTCCGCCACGTTCCTCTCCAGGTGGTCGTCCTTTGAACGACCGCCTCTCCGGTGGCCCTTTGAGCCCCCGTCGAATTCGACCTCCATTGAGCTTCTCCATGTCGAGTGGGGCAGGCAGCAGGTGTTGGCGCTCTGCTTCAGGCTGCCGCATTTCACGCTGTGCTCGTTGATGGCCCCATCTTCGGTACTGCCGCCCTCGCCCGCACAGGCCGGAGGCTGAAAAGAGGGGGGGGGTTCTTGTTCCAGGGCGTCAGAACGCCCGGCCCGCGCCACCTTGCTCTCCAACTTCTCTTCCAAAGCCCGCGACTCGGCGTCCATAGCGGCGATATGTTGTTCCAGCTTCTCTGGGGCGGTGCCGGCAGCCGCTGCCTTGAGCACGGCTGCCCAGGCAGCGCACAGCCGCGGTGCATACTGCCCCGCGTGCTGAGTCCTCCGCATGCCCCGTAGTCCCAGTCCGAAGCCTGCGCTTCCCAACTCTCCTTTCACCGCAGCGCTGAGCTGGGGAGTGCCGCTGGGAACGCGTCCTCCACCTTCCAGGTTGGGCGGGGCCTGCTTGCCGAGGGTGAAGCGGAGCTCGCCCTCGGGGGTCTTCCCGAAGTAGAGGGCCCACTGGTTCTCAGGCAAAGCGGAGTAGTGCTGCTTAGTGCGGAAATCGATCCTCGCCCAGTGGAAATTGTCTGGGGCGGCCCGCGCGATGAGCTGGTTCACGCGAATCAGGTTGTCGTCTGGGGGCAGCGTGATGGTGACCCCGTCGCTGTTGAGGCCGTAGCACCCGCTGGCCTCGCCCAGTTTGGTGCTGAGGTTGATCAATTCGCTGGCCTCGGCTTTGCTGAGCCGCGTGCGCGCATCGAGGTTGTAGGCTTCCACCTGGGCATCCGTCAGATCATACGGTAGGCCGCCCTCCAACGTGCGATGCGTGTGCTGGCCTGTGCACCTCCTGGCCAAGATCAAGGCATAGGGGTAAAGCCCGAGTGATGCCAACCACCAGGTCCGCTTCTGATACCGATGTTGTGGCTCGTCCGGTGGTGCGAGCCCCCACTCACACATGTCTATGGCGAGAACTCGGGCTCCAGTCGTGCGCATCAGGGCCCGCATGCAGGGGCGGTCCCACAGCTTAGGGTACCGCCCATCCCGTGCTGATGACTCGATGAGGAACTCTCGTCCCGCCTCGTAGCCCCGCTTCGCCCCTATGCACGCGAACTCCCCGAATACGTTGCCGTCGATCTCGATCTGCCGCTCTCCGGTTCCATCTGGGCACTCGAAAGTCCTCGTCCCTCCTGCTGCCAGCTGCCAGGGGCAATGGCTCACGCAGGGCGGGGCAAACTGCAGCACGTTGGCTTCGTCGGGGCCGGGAGGCGCGCTGAACTCCTGGTACAGGCGCTCCCGTACCAGCGGGTCGCGTATGTCGAACTGCGGCCTGGGGTCTTTTCCGAGCAACGGCTGCCCGAAGTACTCGACAGACTCGCTGGTGACGATGCCCGCATCCTTCATGGCCTGCGTCCAACGCCCGGCACCGGCGAAAATCTCCCGCGTCCTGAGTCCCCACGCGAACGCGGGCCTCAATCGCAGAGGCTCCAAGTCCCCGAAGTCTGGACACTCCACCTCGGTGGTGAGCTCGACTGCGGCGGTTGCCCCGCCGGCGGCTCTCCCACGCTGCTGCTGCTGTGCTGCAAGGGCTCTGCAATGCTGGCACGGGGGAGGCTTACTGGCCACCGCCGGAGTGCCATCCTCCTCCGGGGCGAGGTACGTCTCCCAGCCCATGGTGGGGAGCTCCTTGAGGTCCTTTCCGCTCGTGGCCCAGGTGCGGATGAGCTCGTCTGCTACTCGCTGGCCGTCGGCTCCAGGCGGAGGGTGGAGGACACGCATATGCCCGCGATGGATAATCACGTGGCACTCCTGCTTGGGCTCTCCCACGGGGAGGACTGTATCGATATCCAGGTGACCCCAGTGATCCGCTCGCCATACTCTAAGTACCACCTCCTCCAATGCTTCGCACGGGAAGAGGGCAACGCATCGGAAATCTTTGTCGTGGTCGCGATGCACTGCGTCATGGATGCGCATCCGGACCTCGGCCTCCCTGGGGGATATCCAGGGCGGGGCATCGGCGAGGCCAGCGGCCGCGTCGGTAGCCTTCGCCAGGAGGTCTCTGCGAATCTCAAGGGCCAAGTCCTTGACCTGCTGGGCGTCGGGTGGAGTCTCCAGCTGCACCCAAAGCTTGGCGGCCGCCAGGTGGAGTGGGAGGCGCTGCCGTTCCTCCGAAACACCGGCGGCCACTTGTAATCGCTTCGCGACGCACTCGTCCAACGGCAGCTGGTCCTGGTAGTCGAGGTAGCGCCAAGTATGGCCTTGCACTGTGACAGAGCCTTGACCCACCGACTTTTCAGCGCCCCACCGCACTGGCGTTATGATGACGTCAGGGTCAGCTCCCAGGTTGCCAGCCTTCGCCCCGAGGCGGTCCAGCAATTCGCTAGCCTCGGCGGCCAGAGTGGGCCCACCTTGGCGCGTTGCTTCGAGGAGCACCTGTTCAACCGAAAGCTCCTCCTCGCGCCCGCGGGCGCAAGCAAGACGTGCCAAGACATGCGACCGCATGTAGTCACTGGCATGGCTCACGGGGTCGAGCGCCCCGCTCTCCTGGACGGCCTCGAGCAGCTTCCGCTGGGCCAGGGCTCCTTCATCTGCGCAGACACTCGTCCCAACCAGGGCCGGGCTGTCGGCGCGCGGGTCCTCGAGCCAGGTCGCATCGGGCCCCTGAGCGGCTTCCCGAAGCTCCGACTCCAGTTCGGTGCACTGGACCTCGGCGTACTCGTCAGGCGGTGCCCAACCTGTCTTGGCGGGTTGGCTCTCCGCTGCGCCAGCACCTGCGGCCCGTTTGCTGTCCGCCTCGGTCTTCGCCTGGGCCCTCAGCTGTGCGATTCTCCCATTGACCGAAGCTGGGTCGATCTTGGCGGCGTTGCGGAGCCCACCCCGCCTGAGGAGCTGACACTGCACGGTCCAGTGCACGTCCTTCAGTCCTTTGATGAGCTCGTGCGAGTGAGAGCACCCCGAGGCCCCCTTCTTGCAGCCTATCCAGGTCGAATTGTCCCAGCAGAGCGGCTTGCCCTGCTTGTCGCAGGGCGCGTGCCGGACAGACAGCTTGATCTCCTGGGCGTTCAGCCGTTTGCCCGCAGGGTACGCAGCCCGCGCGGAGCTGGCTTTCGGCTGGGCCTTGGCCTTAGGCTTCTTCTTGGGGGTGGCTCCAGCTCGTTGTTCCTGAGGCTCTGTGGCTGGCTCATCTCCTTCTCCTCTGACCTCCCCAGCTTTGCCCGGGGCGCCACGCACCCCGTGCATCGAGTCGTTGAGGACGGTCTGAAGGTAGCGCTGCTGCCGCGGGCGCACGACCTCCTGGTAGTAGCCTGTGGGAGACTCGAGGTCGAAGACGTTGGGAAAGACGAATGCTGGACGCCCGTCCGGCCGGGGAGCAAAGGCCACCATCTTGAGATCCTCCTTCCGAGGGTTGTCCGTCTGCAGCACACGCAGAAGGCCTCGCTTCTTCTCCCGGAGTCGCTCGCACCAGGTCGCCCACAGCTCTTCCCACAACTCATAGACGAACTTGGGCGGGAAAGCGTGGTCATCCTTCTCGCACTCCCGCGCGAGAGTCTCCAGGCAATCCAGACGCTCCCTAACATGCTCTCGTCCGAAGACGAGCCCGAAGAACCTGGTCATGTTCTGGGCCTGCCGCTTCCACTGGTCGAAGACCACGGGGGCCCTGGGCCTAGGTTCTAGCTTTGTGTCATGCGGCGCACTGTACTTATCGAACGCGACCGTCTTGCAGGTCGGGAAGTCCGCCACAGAGGCCGACCACGGGGCCAGGTTGTCCAGGCTGCTGCCGCCGAAGCTGAGCGAGGCGCACGCCATCGCGATCCGATTGGACACCGTTGTGGGCGTCTCGACGGCGAGCATGAGGGCCTTCCCTGAGGATGGAAAGGACTAAGATTTAGTCCTTTTTTTAAACGCCCAAAAACCAAGTCAATTTATGTAACCAAAACAGGAAGTTAGTCAATTTATCACACAAACGAAAACGTTAGTCAATTTTCTACAAACACAAGCAAATTAGTCAATTTTCAAACGACGCAACATACTCGTCAGTTTTTACTAAAAACATGTATTGTAATAGGTTGTGTAAGGGGTGCAACGCTTTGCTGCGCGCCCGGTGCCTCCCAGACGGGGGTTGCGACTGTCACGCCTGGCGCTCCCACGTGGGGCTTCGGTTTTTTCGGTCCACACGCCGTCGCCTTTCGCGCGAGGGCTCGGATTCGCAACGCGCCCACCTCGCCCCGCTGTGGGGCGGAGCGGTTTCGAGCGCGGGCTCGGGAGCTCGCGACCCCTACCCCCGACCCCCCCGACCCACCCCGACCCACCCCGACCCACCCCGACCCACCCCGACCCACCCCGCACCGCCACCCTCAACAACCCCATAGGAAAACACGAAAAAACGCCTCCCGAAGAATTAGGCAGTCGACGACTGCCCAAGCCGCCTCGGCTTGGGCAGTCGCCGACTGCCCAGGCCATGGCGGACGTGGACGACGACGGCGCGGCGGACAGACCATCGAGGGCGCGGCCATGCTCCAACGCGGAGCTCATGGTCCAGGAGCTTATCTTTGCGTCCCATTCCTCCCCTCACCTCTTCCTAACTGGTTCCATTCCTATCTGGTTCCATTCCTGGTTCCGCTAACTGGTTCCATTCCTATCCCCTCTTCTCGCCCGCCCCTCCCCCGTCCCCACTTCCCGTTTACCTTGGTCGCAACTCATCCTGGATCCCCCCACGTTCTCCTCCACCCGTCTCTCCCTCATCCGCCCCCCGTGCCCGCCCAAGGAGTTCGCGCCCTTCGTGACGGAGAAGGAGTGGCTCACCTACCCCAACAAGGAGGCCAAGGGCGACGGCGTCAAGCAGCACCGCGACACCGTCGTCCAGCACGCCGCGCTGGTGGCCACGATGAGGCTCAAGGTTGACCCCAACCTGAGCTTCGGCCCCAAGGCGTGCGACGCGGCCTTCACGATGATTGCCAAGGAGAAGTTCCCAGACCTCAGCTCCTCGCAGTGCTCCATGTGGGCGAGCGAGAACTCTGCTAGGTCAGAGCGGTATGAATAGATGTATGAGAATGGTGATGATGATGATGATGATGCTGATGATGATGATGATGATGATGATGATGATAATGATGATGCTGATGATGGTGATACTGATGAAGATGATGATGATGCTGATGGTGATGATGCTGATGATGATGCTGATGATGATGGTGAAGATGATGATGACGATGCTGATGTTGATGATGATGACGATGCTGAAGATGACGAGTATGATGATGCTGATGCTGATGATGACGATGGTGATGATCATACCGATGATGATGAAGATGCTGATGAGGGCGATGATGATGAGGACGATGAGGAGGACAACGGTGTAAAGGGCAATGAGGTGGTATAAGGCGGATCAACATGATGGGGGGGGAGAGATGGATGAGGATGGGGAGGACATGGACGAGGAGAATGGCAGTGATGCTAACGGTACTGATGCAGATAACGACGGCGGTGATGGTGGTGAGGATGATGATGGCGGTGGTGGTGATGGCGATGACGAGCGTGATGATGTTGATGATGGTCATGATCACGATGATGGCGATGTATGGGATGAGGACTATACAGGGATGGTGGTGGCGCTGATGATGGCGAGGGGGGAGCAGGAGGAGGAGACAACGCAGAGACAGAAAGAAAGAGAGAGAGAGGGAGAGAGAAAGAGAGAGAGAGAGAGAGAGAGAGACATGAATGCAAACATGGCGACGTGGAGAACATGCATAAGCCAGAGAGGGCACGGCAAAGAGAGGAAGAGAGCGAGAGAGCGAGGGGGAGCGAGGTCGAGCGAGCGAGCGAGCGAGCGAGCGAGCGAGAGAGAGAGAGCGAGAGAGAGAGAGAGAGAGAGCGAGAGAGAGACATCGAGAGAGAGAGAGAGAACGAGCGAAACAAGTAGAGCAACTAGAGAGGGGGAGAGACGGCTATGTATATATATAGATGAGAGAGAGAGAGGGAGAGAGAGAGAGAGGGGGAGAGAGAACGAGACAGAGGGGGGAGATCGAGAGTGAGAGAGACAGGGAGAGAGAGAGAGAGAGAGATAGGATGAGATGAGGATGCGGAGGGAGGCGCGTGCGGTGCGGGGGGGCTGGCCCAGAAGGTTGCGCACGCTGGCCAGGCACGTGTACAAGGTGGTGTCACGCAAGTCGTGGCCGAAATGGTTCGCTGACGCAGTCAAGGATCGCACGCTGATTAACCAAATGCGCATAGCGCACGCACGCACAGACGCACGCACACACGCACACACACACACACGAACACACGAACACATACACACACACTCACACTACACACACCACCACCACCATCACCACCACAAACACACGAACACAAATCCAATAATCACGAAAAATGGTCGACCATGTTTCGACCACTTTACGACAATGGTGTGACATCTTGCAATCATGTTCCGCGCCCCCAGGAGCATGGCCTCACGCCGGATGACACCTGCGACGGGGGCGATGACCAGGACGAGAAGACTGGAGACGGGAACTTGGAGGAGTGGGTTTCCACGTACAAGTTCAAGCAGATCGAGTACAAGATGGCATTCGACGAGACCATGGACAGCATGATCAGGACGAGATCGAATGGAGCAGGGAAGAAGATACCAGAGCCGCCAAGCAAGACTGAACGTGATGAACATGGCAAGGTGATCGCCCATTGGCCCGACGGCATGAGGTACAAGTACCTGGACACGCGAGGAGACGGAAGCACCACGAAGAAAGGCAACACGCGCATCCACGTCACCACCATGGGCACGGGTGATCGCGCAGAGACCCTCTACATCAAGATGCGCAACAACCAGCCGAAGGGCAAGGAGATGCAGCATTTGTGCACCCTCGTCCGCATACACCCCGACGGGACCAACGAGCAGTTGACGCAGGTCGACGCCGCGTGGTTCTCTGGCGGCCAGGCCCCAATGCCCACGACAATGCTGAACCATTGCGCCTCTCCCCCGTCTCCCTGCCCTTCGCGGCTGGGATCGGGGAGGGGGTGCGATGGTTCTGCGCGTCGCGGGTTCTACACAGGACGAGTCCATCAAGTTCACGAAGAAGATCCTCGACGCCATCAAGGGGGGCTCGATCTACAGCAAGCAGGAGGCCGACACCATGAAGAAAACCTTGATGAAGGAGGGCGGCATCACCAAGTCCGCGCCTCCAACTTTGAAGCGCCCAGCAGCTGCGGCGCCACCCGTAGCAGCCACTGGCCACGGCACCGACGGGGGCGCCGCGTTCGAAGCCGATGGAGCTGATGGCGACGACCCAGCCGAAGATGGAGATGTAACAGCAGGGGTGGAGGTGGATGCGCCTGCGGAACCAGAACCAGCTGCAGGGCCAGGCGGAGATGACCCGAACATCACCCCCAAGAAGAGGATCCGCACGAAGAAGTCCTCGCATGACATCATCCGTGAGGCGCTCGACATGTCGCAGTCGCAGTCGCAGGTCGGCTTGGACAGCGTCCAGGTCAAGCGCCAGGAGTCCCAGGTGGGCAACGAGACGGTCGTGCAGGCGGAGGTGGAGGCCACCAAGGAGGATTCCAAGGGTGATAAGGTCCGATCGTGTTTCTGAGTCAGCTAGATTCCAACGCCCCGGAACATTAATGATCACGTTGCCCCAGAAACGCACCCACCCCTCCGTTGCAACCCCCCCCCCCCCAACCCGCTACACACCCAAAAACACGAAGCACCCCGAACGATGTTGTTTTTGAAAATTTGGCCCCGATCGTTGATTGTTCTCTTGGGAGGATGCCCGTGCAGACCCAACGGCCGCGGAGTCCGACTCTGACTGCCTCCTCGGTTCTGCGAGGATGCCAGGGGCCGATGATTACGCTGAGGCCAGTCGGCTGTTGTTGGACCGCTCGGGTTCTGATTCTTCGTAGTCTCAGTCTGCGAGCTGAGGATCATCATCCGTGGATGCGCCGCGTTCCGTCAGACGTCCGAAAACATGGTTGCCCTGCCGCGGTGGATGAGCCGCGGTCCGTCAGACGTCCGAAAACTGGGGGTAGGCCGCTAGCCCTGCCGCGGGCAATGTGCATTGGATATCGTGATTCCAGCAGGGGTCTGGGTCGGCGGGGTGGGCTGGGGTCGGGCAAGGTTTGGGGTCCAGATCGGTTACCAGTTGTTGTTAGTCGTGCGGCGTTGGGGGCTACATGGGTTTGCTGTGAGTTTGCCTGGGGATATTGTCTGGCAATCGCCTGGGCGGTCGCGATGGCTGAGACTTCTAAATCAAAGATTGCTCATGGTTGTTTGTATCGGGTGCGTCCTGGGTAAGTTTGTCGCAAAACAGCGTGTCGGAATCGGACAACCTTTGGGCATGCCCACCCAATGCCGCCCCCGACTCCTCCGCATTAGTGCTCAAAGGTCCCGATCAGGTTCGTTTCAGGTCCATCGCTGCATGTATACAGAACCAATCACCAAAGAGATGATGGACAGCCCGCGCGCGGGCACCGTGATCCACGGGCTGCTGGTGAAGTCGACTGCGATTGCGCCCACGCCCACGACGGCGCCTCCCTCAGCACACGCCAGCGGTCACGGCAGTGAACCTGGGTCGGCGCCGCCTCGAACGCCTCAGGAACCAGTGCAGGTGGACGACTCGCCCCCTGATAGTGGCCACGGCTGGGTCGACAGCATGACTTCGTTCACGGCGCCGACCACCCTGGAGCCCCGCGACGTCGGGGGTAAGGAACCAGCGGCGCAAACGGTCCCCGACTCTCAGGGCGACCAGCTTCCAGAAGGTCAGGGCACTGGCATGGGGTACCTCAGCCCCCAGGAACGGCACGGTAACCATGAAAAAGCACTTCCGATAAAGGGGGCTCGCAGACGTTTTTCGGTTTGCAGGGGTGGGCCCAGGCGGGTCTGTACTTCATTGGGCAGTTCGCATGGATGATCCAGATCAGGAGGAGGAGGAGGAGGAGCATATGTCAGGGGAAGCAGCGAGTTAGCCCCAGGACCACATGGGGGATGACGACGCGTCCCTGGCCGAGATCGCGTCGCGCCGGGGCATCACAGTCCAGCAGAACCCCCTGCGCTCGACCCCGTGCCAGTCGCAGCCCGTCCTGCCGGCGGCAGGTGAGTTGGCGAACCAGTACATGATGTCCGCGGGGAAGGCGCACGTCTCGGAGCAGGTGGTTGTTTCGTCGCAGGTCGCAGTCTCCGAGCAGGTGACGGTTTCAGGTCAAGTTGATGTTCCATGCGGTGTCCCTGGCGAAGCTCGGGTCGCCCATCCAGACGGTCAGCAGCTGGCGCCACCGATCCAGCAACCACCAGTCGGCGTTGCCGACGGCAGCGACCTCCGCGGGCTCCCAGCAGACCCCAGCAAGCACCACGGGGAGATTCCTGCGATGGACTACCTCGGGAACAAGCTGATGGACATGTACAAGGCGGAGCATCGCATCAAAGGAGTGCGGAATAAAGCTTGTATCCACAATCCCACACGCCTAATGTAAAATTTACCGCGGCAGCGTTCAGATACACGAACGTGCCGCGCGATGTCAACATGTGCTTCTAGCGCATACGCACGCGCACACACACGCACACGCACACACACACACACCCACACACCCACACACGCACAGCCACCCACCCACCCACCCACCCACCCACCCACCCACCCACCCACCCACACACACACGCACACACACACACACACACACACACGCCTACGCACCCACCCACCTACCCACCCACCCACTCACACACACACACAAACACACACACACACAACCACGCGCAAACCACTTATCATAGCACACCTCCCCCGCCAGGAGATGGCGACGACACGGAGGCCGCCGCCGACGATGACGACAGGGACATTGCGCTCGAGGAGGCGTACCACAGCAGGACGCCAAGGGCGGAGATGGAATACGGAGGGTGAGGGATGCGGTAGGGTGGTCGGGGGATGGGGGTAGGATTAATGAAGGAGGCGGTACATGTGGAGAGGGGCATTGAGGAACACACGAGGGAAGTGATGATGGCGTGGGAAGATATGAGGACACGATAACGTGGGATGGGGAAACCAGGACAACACGGATGATGCGAATGACGGGTGAGCACGAGGGGGGGGGGGCACGGATGACGGGAGCAATGGCGAAGATAGTGTTGACGATGATGGTGATGATGATGAGGTTGATGATGATGATGATGATGCTGATGACGATGATGGTGATGATGAAGATGGGGATGATGCTGATAATGGTGATGATGGTGTTGATGTTGATGATGATGCTGATGCTGATGATGATGGTGGTGGTGATGAGGATGATGATGGTGATGATGTTGATACCGATGACGAGTATGGTGTTGCTGATGATGCTAATGGTGGAGATGATGTTGATGGTGATGATGCTGATGCTGATGCTGGTGATGTCGATGCTAACGATGGTGATGTTGATGTTGCTGATGCTGATGCTGATGATGATGATGATGATGATGATGATGATGATGGTGCTGGTGCTGATGGTGATGATGGTGATGCTGATGAGGCGGATGTGGAGGATCACGATGAGGATGACTAAGATGAAGTACAACTGTCTAGAGCTTCGGAGCAGGAGCTGCAAGAAGGCGAGCAACATGGGCCAGCGGTTCAAGCGCTACATCGACTCGAACGACCCGCAGGCCAAGCAGGACGCCAAGAAGTACGCCTGCCTCCAGGGCCAGACAGCGAAGGAGGCCTTCCGCCTCCAGTGGTGCGACCAGCTCTTTGCGGTCTACCAGAAGAAGAGGCCATGGCGGGATGGGGGAGGCAGATACGGAAGGGGTGTAACAGAGGAGACGGAGGAATGACTTAGTTACAAGGAAGGAGATCAAGGACAGGATTAGGGAGGAGCAGGATGAGTCGGCTGCATTAATCAAGACACCGACTCATGAGGAAAGAAAGTTGGAGATCAAGAGGAGGATGCAGATACGGGAAAGGAGGCAGTGTGGAGGGAGAAAGGTGGAGGAGAAGGAGAGGAGCAACAGGGCAAGGAGTAGCATTCAATCCACGTCCAAAGAGGCGCTTCACGCAGACGTCGTACGAGGCTGACGAGGAGTGGGGGGAGTACGAGCCGTTCGAGCGCGTCGCGGGGCTCCAGAGCTCGCACGGCGTGACTCGCACAGGGCTGCAGGCGCTCGGGGCGGGGTGGACGGGGGGAGGGGACTGGACAGGAAGGACGGAGAGGTGGACGGAGGAGGGCGGACACGGGGGGAGGTGGGCGGAGGGGGGGCGCGCAAGGAGGAGAAGGAGGAGGAGGAGGAGGAAGGTGAGAAGGAAGAGGATGAGGAGGACGGGAAGGAGTAGGAGTAGGAGGAGGAAGAAGAAGAAGAAGAAGAGGATGAGGAAGAGAAGGAGGACGGACCAAAAGAGGATGACGGAATATGGGAACGGGAACCGCTCGCATCGCCCCCCCCCCCGCCCGACCCAGGCAGCAGCGAACATCTGCGCTGCCTGCATCAAGCTTGGCGGCAAGTGGTGCAGGTACAACGCGTGGAGCAAGCGGATGGAGTATCTCTAGCTATCGCGCTGTCGCGATCCGCCGCTCCCCGATCAGAGAGAGGAAATAAGGAAGGCGGGATGAGGGCGGGAGGCGAAAGATAATCGACGAGGGCGACAATGGGTAACTGTGCGATCTGCCGCATGGTCGCGTTACGCTGCCACGCGGATTGCAAGGCGGGCTTTCGGAACAGATTCGAGAAGGCGTGGTCCCAGTGGCAGGACGATCATCCAGACTATGTTGCGCCAGATTTCGAGAAGGCGCCCGACGAGTCCAAGCGCCGGAAGACCGAGCACCCGACGGCGGATACGGCGAGCAGCTCAGGGCAGCAGCCGCAGCAGCAGCCGCAGCAGCCGCAGCAGCAGCAGCAGCAGCAGCAGCAGCAGCAGCCAGCGGCGGAGTGCCGCACGGCGCCTGGGCAGTCCGCTGCTGCGAGCCGCGGCGGCGGGCAAGCGCCCGCGGCGGCAGGGGAGCTCGGCGGCGCCCTGCTGGTGGCAGCAGAGGATACACGCGGGAAACAGTTTCAGGTTGTTTCCCGAGCTTGGGGTTCGGGCGGGGCCCTGGAGGCCGTTGCCGAATCGAGCCCCCAGGCATGGGAGACAGCCTCGAGCTGTTTCCTGTCGAGGAGACGAAGACGGGCGATGCCGAGACTCCCCCTGTCAAGCGGCAGCGCACCAGCGAGGCCCCGATTCTCGAGGCGAAGGCCAAGGTCAAGAGCACGATCAAAGGCAAGAGCAAGGCAAAGCCCAAATCCAAGTCCAAGCCGCAGCCGATGCCGTCGCCGTCGCCAGTCGAGGATGAGGCCGCTGATGAGCAGACGGACAAGGCCCGCAAGAAGGAGCAGCAGAAGGAGACGCAGCAGATCGTGCGGAACGCGCAGTCCAGCATCGCCCTCTACAGCCAGGCGTGCACGCAGGTCAACACGATGATCGAGGTGGTGCAGAAGGGCGAGGACAAGAAGTGGGCGTGGGCGAAGGATGACGAGTTCTTCCAGAAGATGAAGGACGGCGCTCCCCACTCTTCATCCTCCATTACTTAGTTCCCGCCTCGCCATACCTCTCCAGGAGCAGCTGGCGGTGGTGGAGAACCTGGCCGGCCCGATGACGTTCCTCAAGACCTGCGTGATGTACGACCTCGCGCAGGTGAAGGGCATGTACGACGAGTCCACCTACGTGAGCTGCCTCGGCAAGATCCCCGAGAAGGTGAACAAGCCCGTGGCCAAGCTGAAGGCGCTGCAGCTTCGGGTCCAGCAGCTCTACGACCTCAAGAATGCCAAGGTGGAGCTCTCGGAGTCGGACTAGGTGTGCGCGTTGAGCTACACGGCCGCCGAGTACACTGAGCCCTTGATGGGCATCGGACGCCGCTCTGAGGAGCGGGCACGAGCAGACATCGCTCGCGAGATGCTCTGCTTGTTAGGGGGGAGGCGTGGGTCCGCATGCCCACTACCACGGGGACTTCAGGTAAGGAAGGAAGGATAATAACTGAGTCCCCCCTCCCCCGTCTCCCGCCCTTCAGCTGGCCCCCAACGTGAAGCGAGGTTTGTATGGGGGAAGAAGGGGTGATAAAGAACACTAAACGGTATGAACAATGCGAACTGGAGGGGGACGGCAAACGGGACGACGAGTCATGAGCAGGAGGGAGGATGCACACCATCAATTTCCGACGGCAGTGACCGTCAGAAGGAGGCGTTGTTGGCGCTTTCGGGGACGTACGTTTACCCGCAGCGTTGGCCGAAGACCTGCCCGACAGGGCGGCGCCACCCGCCCCCCGCCCCTCCGTAGAGTCGAGGTGCGCGATCAGCATTGGGATGGCGAATGGCAGATCGGCAGCGCAGAAACTCTGCGACAGGCATGCGCCGAGACAGGCCAGACGCGTCGAGGCAAAGCTAGGGCCCAACGTCAACGCTTCCGAGGTGTGTATGTAAACGGGGCTCGCTCGTCGCCCACAAGCTGGATTCGGACGGAACGCAACCGCCGTCAGAAATGATGGGACTCGGATGCGAAAACCAAGGCCGCTCATGAAACACTCGGGTCAATTCAGGAAAAATATGTAACGCTGGGGTCGGCGCGCAAAAATCCCGATCGCACAGCTGTCGGGACCACGAGACAACCCCGACCATTTTTCGACCATTTTTCGACCACTTTCCGACCATTTTCAAGACGTTGCGACCATTTTTGTTACAATCCCTGTAAAATAACAGTGTTTGGTGCATGGTCGCTGCGACCATTTTCCGACCATTTTCCGACCATTTTCCGACCATTTTCGGCCCTCCCCGACCATTTTTGATGCCTGATGGCGCGTGCCGACTCGGCGCGAGCAGCACCACAAAAAAACAGGATGTCACTCGGTCCCGACGGTCGCGCGACACTTCGGGCGGGGAGTCGATGCGCCCGACCCGCCCCGCTGCCCGATGGATGGGGGACGGGGGGGATATCGGTATAGGAGGTTGCGGAGATCGGGCGGTGACACGTGAGGGCGGGTCGGGCGCTTGGCCGAGGGGCAGTGATAGGGGGGGAGTGGCATAGGGGGTGCGCATCGGCGTGGAATCGACGATACATCACCGATAGATCGGCGATATGCCCCCGACAGCAAATCAGGACCTTCCTGGGCGGGTTGAGGCTATCATACCCCGATCGGCGATCAATGTGTACTTAGGGATCGATGCGCCTATGCCCTATGCCGATCTCCCCCCATATCGTTGCCCCTAATTGGCTCCCCCCAGAGTTTGGGCCGCCCCCCCCGCCATAATTCTGGTTGCCCCCCCGCGCCCCAACAGGCGCGGCCGAAGCGGGGGCCTCCTCCACAACGGTTTCGAGATCAAGCTGCGCCGATCGGCGTGCCCGCAGACTTCATGCATATGACGCAGCAGGCGCCCGCCACTACCCTTTTGTCTTCCTGCTCCCCAGCACAATCGTATCGGCCCCGCGTGGGCCTCTGCACCACACTCTCGCAGTCGGGTCTCTGGCCGCTCGGTGGGCCTCGCGTGGCCAGTCGGGGACACAAAGCAACGCAACGCACAGCAATACAACGCACTGTGGGCTGATAGATGATCGGGTTGAGGTGAACTCGGTGTTTGGGCGGTTTGCAATGTAAGCTCGTATTCGGTCATCGTTGTATACACCGTCGCTTACGGATAAAGCACTCACCACGTGCGCCGCTGCACCTACCGCACCCTATCGCACACCGCACACATCGCCACGCACGCCTAAGCTAACTTCAAATATGCTAAGCGAAACGCATCCCATCACAACAAACACGAGGATCAACAACACCATAGCATGATCAGCACCGCCAGCATCTAGACCCGTCCTGTAGCCATTTTGGCTGTCCTTTCAGAGATGGACCATGTCGCGGGCGCCCCGTGGGACGATGCGAATGCTGCCAGGGAGCGGGCGCGTCTCGATGCTGGTGCCCAATTTGGACATCAGCTCATCAAGATGTATGCAGGTGCGCAGCCGATGACAGCGGTATCACTTTGCACTCTCGCGTTCTATGCGTGGAAAGGTGGTTTGGATCATGAGCTCGTGCGACGGCTGGCTCTGAGGCCAACTCAGGGATCGCAGGGCAACTTCCAACAGCACCTCGATAGGGTCGTCGATCGGATGCCGTCTGCACAATTCTACTGGATTGATGTGCCAATACACGGGGTGGACGGGACACGGAGGCGCAAGTCGCTACCAGTGATACCCATGTGGGAGGCGCTTGAGCGAGAATTAGCATCTACTCCTGAGCTGAGACCAGACAAGTTGTCTGAGGACATCAACGCGCAGGAGTGGTATCGGCTGTATCCGTGGGCGGAATGCAATGCCCGCCGAACCCCTGGCCATGTGCGACCATGGTTCGACCACATATCGATCAACGATCGACCACACTTATAGACAAGCTGACTCACCGCCTGGTTCGCCCGCCAAGCGGGCGTGCGGACCAATGGCACCCTGCCATGCAGAGACGTGACCCAGCTGGGCACAGGCCACTGATGCTGGCGCTCTATGCTGATGGCATACGCTACACGAGGAGCGACAGGACTGGTAAATCAGACAGCCTCCTCTTGGTGACGATGCACACGCTTGCGTCGCGACGCCGCCACCCCCTGGCAGTAATTCGCAAGAGTGAGATGTGTCGGTGCGGGTGTCGGGGCTGGTGCACAATATTCACCCCCTGGTCGGGTGTCCGCCGCCCCCCCCCATCCGCCGTGTCACGCGTGAACATCGCCAGTGACGTCTGCAACGTACATGATGGCGCGTGCTTGGTGACCGCCTGCAAAGGGCGGCGGGCCCGCCCATGGACATGCAACGAAGTGGCACGTGGCAACCTACCTGTGCCTCATTATTGGGGCGTGCGGATATCCATTGATGCTCTGCTTGCGTTGGTGTGTTGCCGCATGCCTCGAAGGAAAAGTGCCACCATGCCGCCGCGACGGGTCTAACTGGTTGCTCGGCGATCCTCGCGGAGAGCGATCTGGAACCGTTATTCCCATGGCTGCACTAATTTGGATCAAAGGCGACCTCATCGAGCAAGCCATCACCTTTGGCTTGCGAGGACTCGCGTCACAATATCATCCATGCACGCTGTGCGCCACTATGGCAGAGAACATGCACGACTACGACGAGGTGACGTTCGCGGACGACCTCTGGGGGAAGATGGGGCCAGACGAGTACGAGGCGGCGTGCCAGAAGTGCGAGATCGTAATCTACCTGCTGCACGAGGGCGATCGACAGGAGGCGGGTGCGGGCATGTGTGATTGTTTTGTTGTGTTGCCGTTCCCCATCCCGATTTCGAGACCCTCCTTTTCACGGCATTCCTAAACTATGTGTTGTGTGTTGTTAGCCCCAGGTGCTGCGCCGTGGAGGGCTGTATTGGGACGGCAGGAGGGGGAACGTCCGTGGTCGCACGCTTTCTCGCGACGTGCCATCCCTTGGGCTACGTGCTGGCGACAGGCTGGAACCATCTCCCCACCTCGTCGATGTCGCCGACTTCCCTGACATAAGCTTGCCTGCTGTTGTCCGCTTCTGGAGGCCGACAGTGGTCGGGAACCAGGTGGTTGACCCCTTGCACCGCCGCAACCCTTTGTTCGACCTGGCTGTGCACGTGAGCCCGTCACTGTCGTTTTGCATGGACGTGCTGCACGTACTCTACATGGGCGCGCATTGTCGGCTTGTGGCTACTGTCCTCTGGCGTCTCCTCAAGGCCAACCCGTGGAATATTCATGGGTCCTCTGACGTTGCGGTGGAGGCAGGCCTGATCCGACTGAAGTCCCACCTCCGGGCTTGGTACGACCGATCGGGAGTTCCAACAGGAGATCGCGTGCAGGATCTGACAAGGTCCATGCTGGGCAAGGATATGGGATGCCACGTCGATGGCCCCTCCCCTGCCTAACCCTCCATCCTTTTCACCCTCCCCCTCTCACCCCAAACCCGCCCCCACATCCCCATGGCCCGCTCGCCTCCCCCATCCTTGCCCTCCAAGGAGGATTATCCGCACATGAAGACAATGGGGTGTGAAACGAACGGTCTCTTGCCATGGTGCCTGGTGCTGCTCGATGAGTTCGGGGCGCGTCTGGAAACTGGGCAAGCTCTGAAGCGATGTTGCGAGACGCTGAAATCCCATGTCGAGATGCTCCGAGAGTGCCCAATCAGACCGAGCGCTGAGTACGCGGAGCAGTTGTGGGCCCAATGTAAGGAACATTTGATCGCAACTAATGATGCAGGCATCGAGTACCTCCACAAGCACCATTTCTGGACGCACATGGTGAGACGGGTTATGCGCCATGGCCCGCCGTATGCAGCTGCTGTGTTCCTTGATGAGACGTTGAACTTGGCCGCTGCCACTGTGGGGGCTGCCTGCCATAAGGCGAACTGGGAGGCGAGGTTTTTCGAGCGTATCAACTTGTACGCTACGACAGGTTCGGGGAACGCCTCTCATTTTTTCGGTAGCTCGTGAACTGGCGTAAGGTTTCACCATTGGCACTAGCATCGCGCAACATTGCGCAACTGCCAGATTTGATATAACCTCATCATCACCACCACGATCATGGTCAGCATCCTCATCCTCGTCATCAGCACTACCACCTTCATCATAACCAACCTCATCATCATAGCAATAGTATGTTCAATCGGTATCTTCATCTTAATATGGATCCTCATCACCCGTATCATCCTCATCGTCGTCTCGATCGTCATCACCATCAATCATCATCATCATCATCATCATCATCATCATCACCATCACCATCCATCATCATCATCATCATCCTCATCCTCATCCTCATCCTCATCTTCATCATCAGCATCATCATCAGCATCACCACCAGCATCAACAACATCGCCATCACCATATCGCCACCATCGTCATCATCGTCATCACCATCATCACCATCACCACCACCATCGTCATCACCATCATCGTCACTGTCGTACCATGCGCTGTCTAATTACATGATCCTCTGCCCAACCGCAGCGGTAATCCGAGCCGCCAACCAATTCGCCCAAAGAAACGCCAGAAGGAGGTTCCAACGACCAGTTCGCGACCATTCTGCGACCATTATGCGACCATTCTGCGACCATTTCGCGACCATATTGCGACCATTTTGCAACCATGTTGCGACCATTTTGCGACCATTTTGCGACCATTTTGCGACCACTTTGCGACCATTTTGCGACCATGGTGCGACCATGTTGCGACCATTTTTGCGACCATTTTTGCGACCATTCTGCGACCACTTTGCGGGAATGGGGTTGTCAAGCAAACCACCTCTCCCCATCCTCTCACATCCCCCGTGTCGCGACAATCTCTCCACATCCTCGCAAACCTTCTGCTCACCCCTACTTGTACGAATCTCTCCTGCGTGTAGGGGGCATCGGTTTCCGCATCCTCATCTGTACTGCAACCTCCGAATCATCCGTGTCAGCGTTGTTGCCTCCCCTTCAACGCCGTGCCAACATAGGGCCCCCCTCGTCCTCGACGCTTCCCCATCGGGCCCCCATGCCGCCTCCTGGAGCAAGAATGACGCGGGGGAGAGGTGCCGAGAGGCGCCAGGCGTTCGGTGCATTTTTTTTTTGGGGGGGGGGGGTGCGGGTGAGGGGCGGAGGTACTCAGTCTGCCGTTCACCCCATCAGTCCTAGCCAAATTACCTGCTATCGGGCCAGGCCATTCCCTGCTTACCCGTTCTCCAGGTTCTGCTCCAGGGGATGGCGGTGGCGATGGGGGCTGGATTCGCGCCCGCCGCTCGCCCAGAGGCTGGGGACGCAGCCCCCCCAAAGATGCCTCGCACATTTTTGTGCGAGACGGCCCAACAAGCCCCGAAGAGGGCTCCGAAACGGCCCAAGATCGCCCAAGAGGGCCCCAAACAAGACGGCCCCAAGAAGGGCCCAAGAGGGAACGCGAACCAACAATTCGAGCATTCCGCCCCAAGAGGCCCCCAATAGATCCCCTAGAAGCCCACCTCGACAAGGCCGATTCGTCCCTGGACCCGTCTGTCGATAGCGATGGTTGCTCACCGAGCCGCAGACGGAGAGTTGAGGCTAAGCTTGAACGCCGCAAGGTGGACACACATGTGAAGTATAATATGCGCGCGGGGGCGGGGAGGGGGACATGGGGTGGACAAGTGATGGACATGAGGAGGAGGAGGAGGGGAGAGGCGGACGATAGAGGAGGATACGTGAGGGTGGAGATGCGCCCGTGACATTCAGGAGCTCTACGAATGACATCGCCGCGCAGAGAGAGAGAGAGAGAGAGAGAGAGAGAGAGGGCGAGAAAAAAAGAGAGCTGCGCACCCTGAGGGGAAAACCTAGCGGGAGCACTGGCAACACAAGCACCAATATTAGTAGGCCAAATTCGGCCCAACGGAAGCCCGACGGTAGTCGTTTTCGATGTGGTGACTCCTGCGCGTCGCTGCCCGTGCCCTGTCGCAAACGATTCATATGCGAGGAGTGCCGTCTACGGCGAAGAAGGCGGTAACGAACACGTCACACATGTATTTTCTCATAATCCAGGGTTTCGCTTGATTCACCCGTCGCCCCTGGGGGATATGGGGGGCGCGTTCTGGACAGAATTTTAGGGTGAATGCGACTCCAGCCGTGGCAAAGAGGGCTTCCCGTGAAGCCAAACACACGAAACCACAAGAGAACTAGCGACATCGGTGCAGTTAGCTTCTTTGCCCGTGATGATCGAATCTCAAACTTAGCTTGCGGGGACGGTTGGCCTTGAGACATGAGTTCGGGGAGGGGGCGTTGCGCGCGGGCTGTCGCCGCAGGTGGACCCCCTGCCACAGAACGCCTCGGTGGAGTCGATCGTCCACGCGGCGGTGATGCTGACGATGGGGTGTTGGGGCACCGATCGTTTCAGACACGGTGTCGAGCTCTGTTCGGGCTGGGGGGAGTACTCCTACTGGTTTCGGAAGAGCCACGGCGCCGAGACCCACGAATTCGACCGCGAGACCCGCAGCCTTGATGAGGACCTCTCCACCGTCAGGATATTGTTTTATTTTCGAATGTCGGGGTACTGACGGCACGCCAATACGCTGTAAAAGTTTGTTGTGCACACACTTGTACATATACACACGCACTAGGGGATCTAGAATTGGATTGGGACGCACGTGTACTACTGCACGGGAGCACTATAAATGGGAACACGAGGACGGCAAATGGTGCACACTGGGGAGGAGGGGTGGTCTGCTATCGAAACGAAGTGCTTCCTTCCATCCAGCGGCATCGCGTGGGCGATCATGCTCTTACTGACGGTCGTGCCGAACGGTGTTGTGTTTATGGCGCCGCCGTGCAGCGACTGGACGTGGCTGAACTCCTACACAAGTGGCAGGTACTTGTCTGAGTTCGGACACGTGGGTCACCCAGGCGTGAAGGCGTCGAACACGGTTGCTACTGCTGTGTCTATGTTGATGTGGATGTGTCACATGCGTGGCTTATACTACATGGTTGAGCAACCGAAGGACAGTTCTATGTTTAAATTTCCAGCTATGGCCTCGATGATTGAGATGACGAATGGATCGAAGCTGCTCACCTACCAAGGCCCGTTCGGGGCCGCAATCCCGAAGCCCACAGTCCTGCTGCACAATATGGGTGACGAGCTGACGGCGTCTTTGGTGAAACCGTCGCCGCCGAGGGGCTCGATGAAGGCGAACGTGTGTTGGACATCGAACGCTGGGGTCTTCAAAGGTGCCCTGGGCCAACGTTACAACTTAAACCGCCGAGGAGGAGAAACGAGGGAGGAATCATGAGGTGGACGAACCACGACAATACGTGACTACCTGTTGGTAGGACCGTGGGGGTGCGGGCCGAACAGGGTGGACGTAGACGTGGAGGACGAATGCGGGAAGGTTCGGAGCACGAGCAGGGAGGAGGCGAGGAGAAACACGAAGGGCGATTCAAGAACGTCGGAGGATAGGAACTGACATGCCGACTCGGTACATCAGTCTTGCGACGGGGGGGGTCGGCAGGGGGAGGGCCATGAGGCGGCGGGGTGTAGATAAGGGAGGATGGGGGTGAGGAGGATGGGCGGGAGTACGGAGGGTGGTGGGTGGAGGCGGTGCCGGAGGGAGCGAGAGTGGGTGGCGATGAGCTGGAGCCATCGGGGGCTGGCATACGACAAGCAGTCGAAGGGAGAGAGAGGGGGGGGCGACGGCAGGCACGTCCGACCTGAAGGCCACAGAGCACTACCCCACCTCGTTCGCCCAGGAGCTCGCGAACGTGGCCGCGCGGGCCGTCGGCCTGGTGTAGGCCCGATCGCCTCCAGAATTTGATGTTGAATTCCGTGCCTGCTGGGTAATGGTGCACCCGCCCCCCGTGTACCAACTTGTCGCATTCCTGGCCCCTCGCCTCCATGTCCCGTTTCGATTCCCGTGCGTTCTCGTCGAAACTGGGATCGCCTTCAGCGCCCCATCCATCGCCCCCCAATCTGCTCGCAATTCGCGTCATCGTCCTCGTCCTGATCCCACCCCGTGCCACCCCTCCCGACCATCGCCTTCGTCTTCTGCATCGCGCATATCACCGATTCCCCCTCCCCCCTTTCAGATTGCCCCAGCGTCCCCATCGCCGACATCGCATCCCGCATTATCGTTTCCCCCACCCCTCTATTCTCCATCACCCTTCGACCCCGCCCACTTCAGTCGCGTCGAAGGTCCGACGTTCGCCCCACCTGTTGAACACCACCCTCGGGCCGCCCCGCGTCGGAAGCGAGGCGGGGGGTGGAAAGGGGGACGGGCGGGCGCATGGCGCCTGACTGGGTGTTGAGCCCACTCACACCACACGAGGGGAAACGGAGAGTAGACGGGCAGGAGGGATGAGGAGGATAAGGGCGGTTGGCTAGGAGTAGGACGGGACTGTGTAGATCGACGAGGGGGGAGAGAATGAGACAGAGATGCCGCGAAAGAGCGAGAGAGAGAGAGAGAGAGAGAGAGAGACAGGAGAGGTCGGCATAGAGAGAACGAACGAGGGAGAGATAGACAGAGTGATGATTGTGAATACCTATATACAGAGAGAACGGGAGAGGGGGAACGGGCGATATAGACAGATCGAGAGACACATACAGATAGAGATAGAGCGAGAGAGATGGGGAGAGAAGGGGGGGAGAGAGAGAGAGAGAGATAGATAGAGCGGGAGAGGTACCGACATGCATAGATGTATATATATATAGAAAGAGAGAGAGAGAGAGAGAGAGAGATCTAGAGAAGGGGGCGAGAGGGATAGAGTGAGAGCGAGTCGGAGGGGGACCGGTATATCTATATGTATGTGTGTATATATATATATCGAACGAGCGATCAAGCGATATACAGAGAGCGAGAGCGAGAGCGATAGAGAGAGCGAGAGCGAGAGATAGATAGAGATAGAGCGAGAGAGATGGAGATAGAGGTAAACGAATGCGATATACATACATATATATATATACACATATATATAGAGAGAGAGGGAAACCTATATACATCTATGTACATACATATATACGCGTGCCATGGCTGGGCGTCTTGCTAGAGGGAGAGGGAGAGAGCGAGAGAGAGATAGGTAGAGGGAGGGAGACATAGAGACATAGAGGGAGAGATAGAGAGAGCAATACCAATCCATTTGACAGGGAACAGGAGCGCAATGGTCTGCACTGCGTACATATACGTGCAGACATGTGAAGAGAAACGATGTATAGAGAGGGATCACGATCTATACATATATATATAAAGATAAGGACATATACGGGTTCACTTAAAGCGATGATGTGGAGGAATATGGATCGGGCGGAGAGGATGATGCACGATCGGGAGATGATGAGGAACAGTCGAATGCCTTTCCCAGGCCTTCTTGCTGCTGCTGCTCTTTCCCACTCGCCCTCATACCCCATGTTTTTAAGCCTCGCGATCCTCGATATCATTATCAGTATCGTTCTGCTTACGTCTCTCCTCGCCTTTTCCCCAACGGGTTGTTTCAGCCTTTGTCCCCGCCTATTCCTTCCACCTCTCCCCCTCCTCTGCCCGCTCCTCTTTTTCTCTTTCGCCACCCCCTCCGTGCCCACTATCCTCGTGCACTATCCCTATTCACTCCTCTCCTCGTTTGCCTGCCCCCCTGCCTCCGCTGCTGCTTCGCGCTGGCGCGGTACCGTTACTGGATCGAGACCGTGACCGTCCCCGCGGTCGCGGAGGGCGGCCGCGGCGACGAGCTCGCGGGCGACGGGGGCGCCAGGCAGAGCGGGAACGCAATCTATATATAGCTATGTATATATATATATACGCAGGCTGACGCCGTGACCCGCACATGCCAATCAGAACAGGCTGCACGCCTCGCCCGACGCCCGCGCATGCAGGCTGACGCCGCGCCGCCGCCGATCGAATCGCACGCGTGCGCGCATCAATCATGAGTTCACAGCCATCAAACACTCGAACGCATCAAAATTGACAAAAAAAACACGAGTTTGTCAATTTCAACATAAAACAAGAGTTAGTCAATTTTCGCAATAAACAATAAAGTTAGTCAATTTTCAACAAAAGACAAGTACGTAGTCCATTTTGTTAACATAAACACAAAGTTTGTCAATTTCATGTGTTTTCAACATTGACTTCATTTTAGTCCTTTCCATCCTCAGGGTTGTTCTGCTCACAGGTCCGGCGCAGGGCGTAGAACAGCTCACGTCCGAGGACCTCGTCGCAGACCTCCACGGTCAGTTGGCCGCAGCCGCGCGCCAGGTAGACGTCCAACTCCTCGGCCCGGCCCAGTGCCGCCACCGTCTCTCGCTGGGCTGCCTTGTCGCCCTGCCGGGCACTGGCGACCCCTTCCAAGGCGTGGAGCATCCTCGCGGTGTTCGCGTCTAGTGTTGCCCCGGGCTGCACGAGGCCGAACGGGTCGGCGCCCCCGCTGTCCTCTCGGGCCCCAGCGGCGTAGCGCGCTGGCGCTGTGGTCAAACCTGGGGGCAGGCCCAAGTCACTGACGTGCTGGTCGTAGCAGAACAGGGACCTGATGTTTGGAGCCTGGGGGCGGACAACCGGGCCCAACCCAGCCGTGGTAGCTGGGAGGCCGGCGCCCCGCTGTCCGACAGGAAAGGCCGGCAGGGCGATTGCTGGCGAGAGAGGCGGGCGCGCTTCGAACAGGGGCACGCTGTCAGCCGGGGAGGCCGGCGGCCCCTGCGAGCGGTGGCGCTCGGGAGAGAGCTTGAGGAGCCCTTGGAGGCTGCTAGGCGTTGCCTCTGGGGTCTGCGGTCGCGAAGGCACTTGCTGGAGCACCTCCCAACTGCCAATGTGCCCATCAAGCCGTGCGAGTTCCTCGGGCTCGTTCGTCTGCTGCTTGAGGTATTGAGCGTATCGGATGAGGCCGGCGAGCACCTGCTGGGCCTCCTCATCGAAGCCGGCAGCCACACTTTGCACCGCTGCTGCATCGCTCGACCCACGGGCCTTCTCCTCCAAGTAGCAGGCCATCATGTCTCCCCCCTCGTCTCCTTGATGACTCTCTCCTGACACTGGCGCCTCGGAGCTGGCTGCCCGCCCGCCTTCGGCTGACGGCGAACGAGAGCTCCGTCTTGTTGACCCTGAGGGCGGCTTGGGTGAGCTGCTGCGATCGAGCCGCTGCCAGTGGCTGCGCAGCTTGGCGTCCGCCTCGGTGGCCTGCGCTTCGAAGCTCGGGCTGGGCGCCACGCCCCCCTCGGGATGCCACTTGACTAGGCTGACCACCTTCTCCTTGAGCAGCCGCCAGCGAGCCTCGCTGAGTGGGCCGGCTCGACCGCCCACGGGCAGACCATGCCAAGCTGCCAGCTTGTGCCAGACCTTCTCGGGTACGTTGGTCGCCGAGACGCTGATGCCGAGCTCCTCGCATCCCAGGGGTGCGTGGTGGAGCATCTCCTCGATGAACCCTGCGGGCAGGCGCCCGGAGGGTCCCGTGGACGGTGCACGGATGACGCCGTCAGGCTTCACGAGAAAGCGGATGGTGATGCCGGACGGGTCTGCCACTTCGAGCGCCAACGCACCGTCGAAGTAATCGGCCACTGTGCTGGCCGCGGCGGCGTCGACTGCCTTTCCTCTGAAAATCATCCACTGCGCTCCTTCTGGCCAATGTACCCTCGCCCGTATGATGAAGTGCTGCCCGAGGGGCATGGGTGGCGGAGTAGGCGGATTGGGGAAGTCTGGAACCGGCGGCGCTTCGAAGCGCACGCTCGGTGGCCCAGCCGGCGCCGGGACGGGGTCGCCAGGGCTGGAGGGCGCCTCTCGAGCAGAGGTCGTTGGAGCGGAGCGCTCTGGAGTGCGACTCCGGGCCGGGGTGGCAGCCGCCCGCTCCGGCGCGCGGCTCCGCGGTGCGGGGCTCCGCCGAGCTCGGCGCCGCAGTCCTGCGAAGAACCCGACCCCTGCGGGGTTGTCGTGGATCGCACGGGCTGCATCGCCCCCAAGGTGTTGCAGGCAGAGCGGGACCCCCGAGGCCATGCCCACCGCTTCCCGGAAACAGGTCACCTGAGAGCACTTCTCGCCGTAGCGCAGGACCATGTAGATTTGCCGGTGATGCTCACAGAGGCAAGCCGTTGCGCTCCCCTCGCTCGGGAGTGGGAGGTCCGAGGCTCGCCCATCCTCCACCAACAGCACAGCGGGGTCCCCGCGTGCAGCGCCCCGACAACCCTCAGGTGCTAGTGGGCGCATCTTGCCCTTGATCATGAGCCCCACCTTCACCGCCTCGCAGGGGTTGTCCTCGGCGTCCACCTCGGACTCGGACTCCTGATCAAGTAGCCTTGCCACTGACCCCTGCACGCCAGGCTCCGCATCGCCAGTCTTGTGACGGCGGCGACGCCGGCGGCAGATGCATGCACCACAACATGAGAACCACGAGAGGATGTACAGCAACAACTTGTAGACAAGGCCCGTCCCCCTCCAGAGCCAGACGAAGATTCGGCAGGGGGTGAACTTCGAGTAGTCACCGAGATCCACGATAGCTTCATTGTCGAGGGCGGCGTACTCCTTGCAGTGCAGTTCGTTCTCGCGACCCTTGCACCCGGTACAGCTTGAGGAACGGCACAGGTGAAGCCAGCGAGGATCCCGCTGCTCCAACTCGCGCCGGAAACTCTTGTCGCTGGCGCCCTTCACAGAATCATACTCTACCCACAATCCTTGGCGATTGATGCGTTCAGGGGACTTCATGTTGAGCTTGAGCCGGGCAACCCGGTAGTCCACCCTGATCATGAGGTCGTTCTGGCCGCGCTTGGAGCCCCGACCTTCCTTGATGCTCTTGCGGTGCCAGTCGGTCGTCGGGTCGGCCCCTGTAGT